AAGCGTCAATGTGATTCAGAAAGCTCATAGAACGCTCACCAGGAACATCTGCGATTGGTCAGCCGCCACACGGCTCATGACAGAAATGTCTGCAATCTGTTGGAGCATTCCCACGAGAACTACTCTTACGACAAGAAACGTTTTACTCTGATGTACCAGACACGCTCCTAAACACAATGCATCATATCAGCGCCTTTTCTATCCCACTGCAGAGGGCAATAACAAACATTCCGATTTTGCGGCAGTAACACAAACGCAGAGGAGTAGTTTGTTAAGTTTGTTTAATGGTAGTTCACTAGTGCATGTCAGCAAAGGAAAATATCTCTACCAAATGATTGCAGTCACTAAAGGAGTCAAGTTAAAAAGACCCAGCAGGGTGGCTGAACTCCACAGATGAAAAGAGTAGAGGATAGAGGAGGTTTAACCACAGCACACACACAGACATGATAGTGTGCGTAGGGAAAAGGTGCACAATCTCATAGGAAGCCCATTCACAAAGACTCAAACTACAATGAATAAATCAGCAAGATAATGAGACATCAGTGGGCAGTATGGCTAAAAATCACAGTATGAATAAATCTGACCGTTTCCATATACATCAGAGTAAATATACATACACACATTTTATATATATATATATATATACATACATACATACATACACACACACACACACACACACACACACACACACACACATTTATTATTTATTTATTTATTTATTTATTTATTTATTTATTTAGAATAAAAAAAGGAACAACGTATAACCTGTCAATATTGCTTTCTGACACTAGTTCAGCAGGCCTGGATAAAAACAGTGCTAAATGTTGTTTCATGTCTGAATTTCCACAAGGCTGAAGGCCTCTTTTTGTGCACATTTTCTATTTCACCTTGAATGCAGCAGCAGTTACATCCTGGAACCTGTACAAGTGCCTGAAAGTAACTGCTGCACCATTTAAGGTGGAACAGGAGATTTGAATAAGAAGTCAACTTCAGTTTTCTCAAGTCATTTGTCTCCATGTCTGTGCCAAACACTTGCGCCTCCGACCGTCAGACACTTCTGGAATTTGAAAAATGTTCAGTACCAGCTGGTCCATGGCTTGTTTCGCACACAAGGTCCCGACCGTGTTGCTGTTTAATGTAGCTGACCGAGTTAGGAAGCTTCTCAGGCAGTACGAGAGGAAGGTGCAGCAATCACTAAGGTTAACACCAACAGACCAGCAATTCCTTTATGTTCTCTGCCTCGAAAAAACAAAGTGGACCACTTCAGATGCAACGAGCTAGACAGCGAGAGGTGATCGAGGGCCTGCTTCGTTTTCATTTAAATTGTGACTGAAGCATCTATGACTCAGCCACTCAACTAAAGGGGTAACATTAGAGAGGTTATTTGTGTCACTTACTTGTGGCATATCAGTATAGGTTATGACAAAACTCATAACTGAGGAAGAATTTCAAATGGTGAACTGATGAGCCGATATATAGCCCAATACTGTGAATGTGAGTATGAGTGTTCTCTCACAGAGCTGGAACTGGACCAGATTTGTTTGGTTTTTATGCCCACACAAGAAGCATAGTGAAAATGCAAACTGTGCATAAATACGCAGGAAACATGACTACGATTCTGTTCTGCAGCGAGAGCCAAAGAAGCTTCTTCCTACAAACATGCAAGCTGATGTGAAATAGAATGAAAAGAACGTCTTGAAGTTACGGTTACTGTAAAGCCATTTACAAACTATAAAGCAGGGGTGCTGGTCCTGGAGATCTACCACCCTGGAGAGTTCACCTGGATCAGGTGTGCTAGGTTTGAGTTAGAGCTAAACTCCGCAGTGTGGTACATTTCCAGGACCAGGATTGAGCACCACTGTTATAAAGACACGCGCACATTTACCAGCATTCAACTAGCAGCTCCATGACGGCGTTTTAGGGCCACTGTTAATAAAATAAAAATAGTAGACCTTGAGAATAAAGTCGTACTATTTCAAGAATAAAGTCGTACTATTTCGAGAAAAAAAGTCGTACTATTTCGTGGATAAAGTGGGCTAACTGTAGGGGGCTGCCATAACGTGTTGGGGTCTTGGTTGCTGTATAGGCGCCGGAGTTCCACTCACTCCTGTCTGCTCGTGGATTGATCATTTTGATTATCACTCTCACCGTCTGTGATACTACATGCCCTCTTTGAACGGCACAGAGATGTAGCCACTGATAGCTGTGTAGACGACCCTGCCTGTGATTCTCCTTCAACAAAACAGACAGACAGTTTCCTCCGAGTCCGTCTGGTTCTTTCATGTAAATAAACTCAGTTTCCTGAACAGCCGTTTCTTATGCTAATAACAGTCTGGTGCTAATGTGCTAGGAGAGACAGGGAGACTGAGTATTTCTTTATGGGTAAAATCGATATGAAAGTAGAACTCCACCAACTCCTCAACGCCCCTCATTTTAACACAAGGAGGTGCTGCCTTCCCTTTGCAAAGCTTTTGGCCACAATATTGCGAACTTTCCTGGTATTAATGCCACTTTAATGTAATTCTACAACTTTTTTCCTTGAAATAGTACAACTTTTCTCTCGAAATATAATTTTTTTTTTGTTGAAAAAGAATGACTTTTTTCTCAAAATAATATGACTTTTTTCCTCGAAATATTACTTTTTTTCTCAAAATATTATGGATTTTTTTCTTGAAATATTATGATTTTATTCTTGAAGTCTACTATTTTTATTTTTATTAACAGTGGCCCTAAAACGTCATACAGCTCTTCCATGACCCCTTTCTGTCTTATTTCTCTCTTTTAACTCTCTTTTTTGCTGATGCTTGAATCACTTATTCAGTTACATCAGTGACCATCTCATCCTACAAGACTTATGAATGTTCTCAATCATAGAAAAATCAAATGTTTAAAAATATCTTGAGGCCTATGACAACTTACATTGAAAGCTAAAGATTGACTCGTTTCCCCTCACACTACCAGACTATCTGTAGCCTCACTTTCAATCAAGCTCCTGGCATTGAAATTTGCTTAAATTTGCAGTAATGGAATAAGTATAAAATATAAGAGGAATCACATAGACGTGCAGAATACCAGCACCAAATAGATCTTGAAATATTTCTCCAAACCTGACAGGACTATTTATATCAGCTTTGGTCAGGTTCAGCCATCATTAGATAAATATTTGGCAGTTCTGGGCAGCTTTTTTTTTTTCCATTTCTTTATCAATGATCTGATAACTGCTGTCATTGTCACTAGGCAATTTAACATGAAGGTACTTTCACAGGCCTTATCATTGGAAATGTGAAGTTTTATTCAGCGTCTGATTGACTGTGGTCAGGTTTGGGCTGGACTGGGACAGAGCTTTGCCAGTTTAGCATGTTCAGTTTTAAACTCAGTGCTGTGAGTGTGTTCTTAAGCTCTATTCACTTTCAGAGCAAAATTTCAGGCCTACTCATTTCTTGCGTTTAAGCGTATTATTCACTTTGAGTGCATCACTGAACATGAGGGGTGTGCAATATATTTATCATTATCGTGATAAATTATGTCACAACAAGCTTTTTCTGAGCTCGTCAGTACTTAAAGAACACTGACAAATGGTTCATTACAAAGAGAGCAAGATTAGGCCTGGTATCTGGATGTAGTGCAGCGAAATATGCAAAACACTCAAAAACAACTGTGCTCAGTTTTTGATGGTGGCTCTGCTAATGATTTTTGTTGTTGCTGTTCGTGGTTTTTGTTTCTACGTCTCAAATCTCAGAAGAACCGTGATAATTCATGTATTGTGTAAAACACAATGTAAAATATTGATACTATGTGTACCATATGAAATACAATTTCTTAAAAATACTATATTGTTGCCATATCGTCCATGTTGTCTATTGAAATAGACCAGGGAGACCTAATTTCTTGCTGTTGTTAATGAGACTAAGTACATTAAAAAGAAAATAACATTATCAAAATTAAGGAAAGGCTCAGTTTATCTGTGCCAAGATTTGCGCACTTTTTCTGGGTCAAGCCACACTGCATCCCCAAGGGTACCCTGATACACTGAGAACAGTTTAATCTGTCAACTCAAACACCACCAGCAAAAATCCATATAATTATTCTTTCACCTCCCACTCTCACTGCATTCTACCATTACCAGCAGAGAGCCCTCTCTCTCTGTCTCTCACAATCTTTGAGAAAAGGTCAGTTTTTATGTAATTACAGTTCAGACATCAGTGTTCACTTTGTAGTGTTCAGTTCTCCATCCGGAAGATAGGCCATCAAAACAAATTTTCTATCTTTACATCCTTAAACCAGCGCACGTCACTGTTCCAGATACTGTACTTGCCCTGCAAACTGGGTTATGTTCTATGTCATGTTATGTTACGTCCTCTCTTAATGGTCTGCATGCCTGCGTGTGCATACTAAGAGCGGTCAAGCCCATTCTATCCTAAATTAGCCTCCCATGCATGGCTTCCATGAACCCCATTAGCAAAGATTAAAGGTCAGCAGAGGGCAGATCTTCCACACTCTGCTCTGCATGTGTGCTGGCATTTCAGAAGAAACCACGTTGCCTGTATGACTCTTTACTGGATAAGAGCACTTCAGTGGGCCAGATAGTGAAGAGGGGTTTACATACAAGCAACACACTTCTAACCTTTAAGAGAACGCTCTTATTACCCCTCAAAAATGTCTTTGTGATGCTAAAATAAGCCTCTCAAAGAGACTTTTGGAACACTAAGAGCTTTCTGGCCCGCCTGCACACGGGCACCACATTAACTCTCACTCTCATAACCCTCTCTAGCACTCCACTTGTTCACAATTTCTAGGACAGGATGTCAATTTTTGGAAAGCACTCCAGTCGAGTGTCATGTTAGGTGGGTTTCACTTTTATGTGCCGACAGACAAAATAACTGTAACTTAATGGCACAGAGAATCGAACAGAATCTTATAAATAAAAGGGTGACAGCTCTTGTACACAAGTGAAGTCAAATGCTACAATGCAGCTCAGCCATCGCTATGGCCCCTACCTCTCGTCGCCGTGACGCCCAACAGCTCTGCTTGATCTTCCAAACGACCGCCGCCACCAAGAGCAGAGACAGGAAACAACTGCAAACACACAGAACGTGAGGTCAGAAAAAAATTTACATCTCCAAAAAGGATCAAAAGAGAGAACAAAAAGATATTAGAGAAAAACCAATGATTATCAAAGTGTAAGTAACTTTTAATGAATAATGAAATGAATAATGAACTTAACTTTTTCTGTCCTAATTGGATCAAACTATTCACCACTATTTGGTAATGCTGTAGTCAAGACCATCACAGGTGAGACAGAGTTGAGACTAAGATGAGATTGAGATTTTTTCAGAATAAAACACTAAGATTTTATTAATAATATTATGAAGCAGTCTTAGTCCACTTCTGCGTTCTATGTCCTTTCCTTAAATGATGGTGGAGATAAAAGATATTTATTTATACTTAAATTTAACATTAGGCTACTCAAAATAAAGCGCGTACATTGATTGAATACTAAATGAAAATATCATTTCAATGTCCCTTACTGAGTCACTGACTGACTGAGTGATGCCCATTACTGAAACACGGATGCACAAGCGTCACAGCAGCAGGAGGCGTTATATGCTATTAAAGGGTAACAGTCTGTCATTATATTTCGGACCTATTTGGAGAGCTAGTTAAATCTGGCTTCATTAATTAATTCATGACAGTAGACAGACTGTCAGAAATTAATTATTAAACCATCCCATTGAGAACACACATTTATCCACTACTGCACCTTCACAACAGCACTGGATTAGACCATCTCTAGTCATGAATTTTTAAACGATTATGTAGCAAAGTGCCTAGATCGCCACTGCTATGATAAGAGTCCTGTATAATCATACTGTTTAAATAAGGTAATTTGATTTACTTAAACAACTACTGAACACTGTACTTATCATTACTATCATTGTTATTACTATTTTTTAACAGTGTTGTGATACTGAAGTCAAGTTAATTAACGTTACATTGGTGTAACTTTGCAAAGTGCTAACTGTAAAAGTAGCAAATGACATATGAAAATATACCCTTTCCTAACTCCTGTATCATAGACACTTGTGTGACAAATCCCACACAGCTGATGAAGGTCCAGTAAAACTAGGCTCGCTTAGTCTTCTATCGGAAACATACAGAAGAGGGCTGTTTTATTCTGTTTGAATGTGGTGTTGATAGATGACAACAACAGCAATAATAAAAAGGCCATTTACAGGTCAGTTACCAATGCCTACAGGAGGAGGCCATTCACTCAGCTGGTTGAGTCCACCTTATCAGGAGACCTGTCTGAGACCATAATTTGAATACTTGAGTACTACAACACTAATATTTTGTTCTATAGCAATAGACTGACATACCAGTCATCATATAATGCTAACTGGTCAGGAAAATAAGTTTCTCTCTCTAGATAAAATGTTTAACCATAGAGAAAAACATTAATGTGCAGTCACTTAATAATTGGATATAATGTAATAAAGTAACACATTTCAGTGGCTGTTGTAAATGGTGGTCTGCTTTGTTTTTTGGATAGCTCGGATAGCTGAGACGGCTCTATGTATCAGTCTCCTCCACTCTAGTTATATTCCAATATCAAAATCATTAAAACTCAACATAGCATCCAAGGGATAACATCAGCCTGCGATATCAATAAACCAATAAGCTGAGCTCTACTCCAGAGACTGGATATGTTCCTCCAGGATGAATCACTAATACAAACCCTCCACATTTCTCCACACAAACTCTACTATGCTCTCCAACTTTCTCCAGCCCTAAGGAAATACCTAACCTTTACCCATGTGTTTGGGTGACATTCACTCAACTCAGCTGAATGAACATGCATTTGGATGGTAGTATATTAGTTCATTAAGTACCAGGACTGCAAATATTGATTTTTTTTCATTTTTGAATATTCTATTGAAGACCATCTTAAAAACTCAAATATTCTATAAGAATAAGCTATTGAAGTGTGTTTTTATTGATTAAAAGAAAAATAATTAACAGGAAATTTAAAAATTAAAAAAATATTTAATTGTGAATCTTATCATTACTATTACAATTACTTAACTCAGCTGTGTTGTTCTTTAATAAGTTTAGTTTCTCGACAGATGGATGGCTCACTGGCCAGCATGCCATTGTCAAATTCTAGATAATAAATGCAGTGGAAAGCTAGCCAGTTATCCAGAGGAGTAGAAAAACATTTCGACTACACCGGGTAATTAAAACGGACATTATCGACGTAAACAGAGCTTCAACACTGACGGTTTGGAGAGGAGTCTCAATAGCCCTACTTCTGACTCCAGCTGAAATACAGTTGTGTGCAAAAGTTTTAACACCCCTGATCAAGTTACATACTTTGTTAATTAGTGAAAATTCATCTACCAAAGGGAACATGCTTAAATAAGGCATTTTCTGAGCACAATTTCTGTTCAATGGCCAAGTTTAACATATTGAAAAAAATAATAATAATAAAAAAAAATACACCCTGCTAAATGTGCCATAACTTTTACACATGCCACATTTGCATCACTGGAGCTTTGACAGGAAAGGAACAGTTGACTGACAGGAAAAAAAGGCTAACCATAAAGTGTTGTAAGACAAATGTGTGGAAGTGCATACTTTCATAAAAACAGCTCAAAGTACCAACAATTCAATTTGCTTTTCTGTTTTTAGAAACTTTAACTGTGGAATATAATTGAACATTTGTTGTGAGCTTTTTTAGGTATACCAACTTTACATCTGCACCCACTGATTATTTTATCAGATACACCTGCCACATAGTTGCACTTTGAAGGTTTACAATTACTGACACCTGCCCATCTTTTATCATCTCCCCTCTACCCAGTCTGGCAGGGAAAAGGGACCACATTAGGACCACTAGTGACCAGATGTTATCTGGATAGTGGATCATTCTTCTCACAGCACTGACACTGTGCACTGCAGTGGTATGGTTGTGTCAGTTGTGCTGGTATGAGTGGATCAGGTACAGCAGTGTTGCTGGGGTTTTTATACACTTCAGTGCCCCTGCTGGGTTGATAACAGTTCAGCAGCCGAAAACAAACAGCCCACAGAGGTCCTGTAGTCAGAAACTGACCACAGATGAAGGAGACTAACAAAAACTATGCATGGAAAAACATGTACCAATAAGTGTCTAATATATATCTAATATGTCTAATAAAGGTCTACTGTCTAATGAAAGTAAAGTGGTCAGTATATGTTCAGTGTGATATGTTCATTCTTCTTGTGCAAAACACCCTTCAACTACCATCTAAGAGTCAACGCTGTGCTGAGAATGGTCTACTACTCAACATCTGCTACTCTTGTTTGCCCTGGCTCATATTCTACTTCATGTTACATTATTCGACACTTTACACACACACTGATCAGGCATAACATTATGACCACCTCCTTGTTTCTACGCTCACTGTCCATTTTATCAACTCCACTTACTATATAGGTGCACTTTGTAGTTCTACAGTTACAGACTGTAGTCCATCTGTTTCTCTGCATACTTTGTTAGCCCCCTTTTACCCTGTCCTTCAGTGGTCAGGACCCCCATGGACCCTCACAGAGCAGGTATTATTTGGGTGGTGGCTCATTCTCAGCACTGCAGTGACACTGATGTGGTGGTGGTGTGTTAGTGTGTGTTGCGCTGGTCTGAGTGGATCAGACACAGCAGTGCTGCTGGAGTTTTTAAACACCTCAGTGTCACCACTGAAAACATGAAAACACATAAGTAGCAAAAAAAAAAATTTAGTACTCTTTCAGTTCCTTTAAACTTAGAAACCAATCCCCTGTAGTGGGGTGCAGCGGTCCAAGGAGAACATTATAGTGATTTTAACATGAAATTCTGGCATGTTCAGGGGTATTTACTGTGGAATTATTAGTTTTTTATTTAATTATATGTTTAATTATTATATTCCATTTTCCAGGTATTTTGACATATTTGAAATGAATGAAAGCAATCTTACCACTTACAAAACAAGCCTCCTTTATCTTCTATTAAGGGAAAGAAAATACTGAATGAAATATCTGTGGGGTGGCTGATTAAAGGCAATGAACTGCTGCTGTGCTGTGTTTGGGGGAGAGGAGGAATTACCCCTCGGAATCCTCTGTTGGCAGCAGAGCCCCTTTCCAAAATTAAAAACTCATCAAGTCTACACGATTCACATGAATGGCATAGTCATCGCTCAAAACGGCAGAGAGGCACATGCATGAGACATGCTTGCCCAACGTGTTCTCATATGTAGCAGCAGAAGCAATCAAATACACCTGAAGTACCAAGTCTGAATCTTTAAAAAAAAGAATCATGACTCTTTGCTTTAGCAAATCATCTTTTCATAAAAGTATAAATTTGACAGCAGCCTTCATAACACTAATGACATCACTGTAAAAGAAGTGTAGATGAAAAGGGCAGAAACAGTGAAGTTTGCCTGCTGAATAAACGGATTCACTCCCTGCTAACACCCCATCCCACATACACACACGCACACACCAACCAAGGCTGAGAGAGTGCAGAGTCAGTGTAATTCATCATAGTGCCTGAGCTGACAGAACTAATGATGGGGAACCATGGCCAACCACAGCATACTATGTGTGTGTGTTTATTGTATGGGATACATAGTGTGATCTAAGTGACTGCCCTACTTTTCCTAATGCTGAATCATTAACGACTAAAACAAACCCAGTTTTCAATATGTGGAAGAGACAAAGGGTGTGTTTCTGAGGAAAGAGAAGGTGTGTGTGTTCTCTTTGCTATGCTTTCTATACTTGGTCTTGGGTCATTTCTACATCAGCAAGATTACTATAATTACTAGTGTATTAGACCTATACCATATTAGGTTTATGAGAACTCACACAAACCAAATACGTTCTAATGACTGAGGGAATGCATGTATGGATGCATACACACAGCACACTGTTAGCTTTTAGTAAGGTATTCGTCACATACTCATCAGGGAGCACCGTTTCTTACCTGAAAAATGTGACAAAGAACTGTACCAGATCCATGAAGTTACTGTGCTGAGAGAAAGCAATCTGAAAGAGAAGGACAGAGAGCTCCATGTTAAAAAGTGGACGGAATGATGGGCTTCATGCTGCATGTTCATGCTTGTGTGAACTACCTACATTCTTCAACACTGGACCAACACTGCCCCCTGCTGAAAATATTACTCCCCCTGTCCTCCAAACACACAGTAACACACACACTCTCTCTCTGATCAGTTCAGACCTGCTGCCATGCACTAATTATTCTTCACAAAGCTGAGATTATCATCCACAAGACAGAGAGAGAGAGAGAGAGAGAGAGAGAGAGAGAGAGAGAGAGAGAGAGAGAAAGAAAGAAAAAGAAAGAAAGAAAGAAAATGCAATAATGAATAGGAGAAAAATGAAAAAGAAAGGGGAAAAAATAAGAGAAAAAGAGAGAAGGAAAGGAAAAAGAAAAAAAGAGGAAAAAGAGAGTAAGATGGAATGAAAGACACCAAGTAAATGGGAAAGAAAAAAAAAAGAAACCTGAACACGAGAAAGAACAAACAAAATGAAAAGAAACAAAAAAAAGAAGAGAGAAGGAAATAACAGAGAAGGAAAAAAATAAAGAGAAAAAGAGAGAAGGAAAGAAAAAAGTAAAGAGGGAAAAGGGAAAGAGTAAATGAGAGAACAAAAGGCAGAAACAGAGAAGGGAAAACAAACAAAAAGAAAGAAAGAAAGCAAGAGAGAGAAGGAAATAAATAGAGGTAAGAAGAAAAAAGAAACCATGTAAATGAGAAAATAAGAAAAAAAGAACACAATAAGACAAAGTACATGAGGAAAAGAAAAAGAAAAAAATCAAAAAGAAAAAGAAAAAAGAAAAAAAAAAATCAAGAAAAACAATGAGGGAAAGAAACAAAAAGAGAAGGAAAGAAAAACAAGAGAACGAAAGAAAGAAGGAATTAGATTAAGGAGGAAGGAAACAAAGATGAAAGAAAAAAAAATCAAAGAAAAGAGAAAAAAGAAAAGAAGAGAGAGAAAGAGAGAAATTAGAGCGAGAGAGAGAGAAAGAAAGAGAGAATAGAAATGATGATCCACATATACGTATAGAACACCTCAGTTCAGACTGACCATAACTGATATTAATACTTGAATAGTTCATTAAAAACAACATAAAAAGTCCAACAGTGACAACATAACCCACATTAACACAGCTCATATGAAAAATGCCCCCTTTCACCCCAGAGCTGAACCTCCGAGGGTGGGCACAGCAGGCTGGGGCAAAAACAAAAAAGCTGATCAGGGACAAAGAGGTAATTAATCAGACTCCGCACCCACTCAGTGGCTCTACTGCCTCTGACCCAGGCTCAGGTGAGGCTCTCAGGCTAATGACTCCACTGATAAGCACCAGAGCTGGTGTTCTTTGGCTTCAGCGTCACTGCAGAACACCTTGTGGAAATGCAATGTGGAGTTCTCTGGAGGAAAAACTGACTCTGCAGAGAAATAAACTCTTCACTGTGGACGTGTTACTAATTCAAATGAGGCAATTCTCATCAGTTTGTTATTGTTTTCTCTCTGTAGTAAAACATTTTATAGCACTATTCTGATGACTAGTGGCTCAAGTGGATTGAGAGTCGAATGCATTTTAAATCCATTCCACTCGGGAGTTATTTGAATTCACCCCGAATTGCTTACGCTCAAACAACACTGCCAAAACAAAGTATCAGGTTAACTTCTGGAAACAAAAGTTCTAGACAGGAACAAAATGTACAAAGATGTCAAATACTGCCCTACAGTCTCTTCTCAAGCTTTCTCACTTGCAGCCTTTCATGGAAACTACAAAATGTGGAGAGCATTGAAACTAAATTACAGCTAATATTTTGTATACAGTTAATATTTTTGTATGTACATTTTAAATTCAACCTAAAATAAAAACTGATCTTTTGTTTTTTTTAATACATATTTAGCTCAAGGCCCTGGCCATATTAAGCATGATACGATACAGCGCTTCACTCAAATACCTCACAGTAAGGAAAGGAAAATGTGTTTGATTTCTGATTCATGTTGACTTTAATGTGACTTGAAACTGAAATGTGCTACAGAGGGCTTATTTTTCTTTAAAAAAAACCACTAAGTTTAAAAAAAAATGTAGCTATTTTTTTATTGTAGCACTTCAAAAGCAATTTTCTACATTTCTGCCTAATTGAATCACTCAAATGTGAACAGTGAGAGTGGTTTGATGTGCAATGGTTAACTTTAGAGAAACATACAGACTGAGACTGCGTTACTGTGCTGTGACATGAACCAGGGCTCACCATGTCTACACTACAAATACGGCAAATATACATTTCATTTGCTCTCCAAAATGACCAGTGAACTAACATCTGAGCTTTTATGTCATGTTGATAATTGAAAAAATAAGCTATCTTTGGGAACAATACTGCCATATAATGAAAATAAAATAAATAAGTAAAAAAACAAAACATTTTTAGCCAAACACTTAACCCAAAACTATCATAAAACATTGCTTTAAGCATTAGGTGGTGAATTCATAACAATTTCATGTAAATATTTTCTGTGAGGTAGCTTTGAGAAGCTTTAAACTCTCCTGACATCTGGTTCTTTAGAACACTGTCGCAAAAAAAAATTCTCTAGAACAGAGCAATTCACATCAAACCACTCTTAATGACTGAATTATGAAGAAATTTTGAACAATCTGTGAAATTTCCCTTCAAAAGGAGCATGTTAAAGTTATTTGTAAACGACTTAAACTCTCTACTATAACAGGAAGAAATCAACAGGAAATGCAATCTCTATTTTATATAAGGCAGTGCCTGCTACTTTGCAGTAATAGAAATTGTGTTATTTACATGCATGTAATTTATTACAGAAATGTTATATATATATATATATATATATATATATATATATATATATATGTAAAATATACAAATATACAAATAAATAAATATATATATATATATATATATATATATATATATATATATATATATATATATAAATAAAATGTGTGGATAGATAGATAGATACTAGGCCTCAAAATTCCTACTCACTACCATCACACTACAAACTATGCCTGTTTGAAACTATGTGAGGCCATGCAAACATTATGAGGCACAGTCTTACCGGACTACTGGACCACAGGCCAATTGCCCAGGCATTTATAAATAAATAGTTTTTACATCAAATTTAGGAAGAGAGCATACGCCACTTGCATTCCCAAAAGACTTTTACTGTGAAATCTGCCAGTGCAATGTAAAAACTTCATGATAAGCCAACTAGTCTGGCAGGAAGAAGTCAAAACAAGGCTACACTTTGATGACCGTTTTCACAGCTAGAATAATGCAAGAATGACAAGTCACTTGCCAAATCACGCTGAAGAAAAGAAAACAAAATCCCCCTAAACAGCTTTCAAAGGGGGAGTGATTCAAGGAAGAGGCCAATAAGTGAGCCAAATGATGAAATGGTAAGAGAAAAGAAAAAACATTTAGTCTGCCAGATCAGTAGGACAAAACCAGGACTGGAAAAAACTTGGCGCAACACAGCTTCATCTATTCCAACATTCTAGATTAAAATAAAGCTGGAATGCTAAAGCACTGCAGCAGCTGTAACCCTGAGAAAGTGTCACCTCCGCTCTCATACTTTGCTTCCTCTGAAATCAGGAAAAAGGCTGATTTTGCTACCAGGGAGAGAGAGTTGTGCAAATAACCCAAATTCAAATGTTCCCTTTGACAGTAAATAGCCTTCCTCTCTTCCTTCACACTGCTGGTACGTGTGTTAGCAGCAGAAGAAAACAACAGTGGCTAACAGAGAGGGAGAAAGCCTTTCTTTCTCTCTCACCCCTACCTCCCTCCCTCACATGCGTGCATACATCAACAGCCTGCAAAAACAGCACATGTGAAGGGGGGGGGGGAAACTTTGTGCACACGCTTCCAAGCCGCTGGCCAAAAGCTACACAGACGGCACAGAGCCTTTGACCACACGCAAAGAAAAGCAGAGGAGGAAACAGAAGGCTGGAATCCTGCTGCTGCAGACGGAGATGAAACCCTTCTTCAACTTTCAGATCTCCCTTTCTGTGCCATCTCCCTTTTCCCTCACCCTCCATTCTCTCTCTCTCTCTCTCCGTCACTTTCGCTCTCCCTCAAAGAACCATATGTTTTAACTTAACATTCCATTTGACACTCTAGCTCCCTCCATATTTGCTGAGCACCTTTTAAACACTGGAGTTTTCTAAAGGCCCCATACAGAAGCACACGCTCTCGTGTTGCTTTCAGAAAGCAGCGCCCCCCGTTTCCCCCTCAATCCAACAACAGCTCCACTGTCCTCCACCAGCTCACCTCCCCACTGACTCTTCAGCCTCTTTCTCAATCCCTCGCTCATCCGCACACACTCTCTCTCCTCCCGAGACGGGACGCGGTATCCAGACTTCAGGCAGACATCCGGGGACAAAGAGATGAAACCTTTTAGGTTCTCAAAGCTAACTTTACTCCATGAGCTGAAGAGAGAACGTGGCCTTTCGGTGCGCGGGTGACCAAACATACATCCTGATTTTACCCAGCCCCAGCGCAGCGGGGCTACACTGGCCTCCGAGACGTAGGGGAGGAGAGGAGAAGGGAAAGGAAGGGAAGGAGGGAGGGAAATGAAAGCTCAGCCAAATCACTTCCAGACCAGACTACTGCCTGCTCATGCAGGAGATGTGGAGAAAAGGGGGAAAAGAAAAAAAGAGTGAGAGAGCAGGAGGGGAATAGGACAGTGGGCGCAAGGTGAGCAGAGTGCAAGACTGAGAAAGAGTGAAAGTGTGAGATTGAGAGAGAGAGAGAGAGAGAGAGAGAAAGGGAAGAGGAGACAGTGTGAGACAGAGTTGGAGAGAGAGAAAGCGAGAACGCAAAACACAGGATAAGATTTCCCGAAAGAGAAAGTGAAAGAGAGAGAGAGTAAAAGAGAGTGAATGAAAGAGAGGAGAGAGGAGAGAGCATGAGACTGACATGTACATGTGTGTTCAATACGTGAGAATGTGTGTGTCCATTAAACCATTGCCAAATCTCTCCTCATAGCAGCGCAGTATTACTTGTAATCATCATCAAGAATCTGGTTTGGCTAATAAAATTTCATGTTAAACCCAGGCTGTGTGTGTGTAGGTTCTATGGAATGTTTGCCAATGCTCTGTGAAGCTCATCCAACCTCAAAAAGCTGCTACCAAAGAACATATTTGTGGGCAGAGCACTGGTAGGTAAATGAACCTTATACATCAGAGCACAACAACCACCAACTGATTGTCCCTCCGTCACACATTTCTGTTATGAAAGATGCATGTAAGGGAACATCACAGCAAATCTATGTGGATATATAGACGTGTGTTGTGGCAAAAGCCCAGTATTAGTGAAATAAAAACGAAAGCATGTTTATGACAATCTTTTTACTGAGAGAGAGAGAGAGAGAGAGAGAGAGAGAGAGAGAGAGAGAGAGAGAACTTCTTGTATTATGTAGCAGTGAGAAGCAGTTTGCTGTATGTGTGAGTGTACACATGTACTGATGAGATTCAAACCCAGGTCATGGTTACGTTACAGATGTCACAAGGAAAAACGCTTGTGGCTAAAACATACTTGAATTTTAATCGGCCAGGTGAAGTTGCTGACGTAAACAAAGAAGGTGATGTTGACGTTGCTACGGAAATCAAACTTCTCGTTGGAGAAACTGTCCTTGAACTCTTTAATGTTGCTAGAAGAGACGATGGGGATCTCCTCTCCAGACTGAGTACCAGCTGGGAGTGAAAGCGAGGAGAGAAAGAACAAAGGAGAAAGAAGCTATAAACTTCAAACACAGCACAAACACACACTAAATGTCTTGTGTACAATAACAGTGTTTGAGGATCTCATACCTGCAAAGCTGGTTGCCCAGGTGATGTTGAGATTAAAGTTCTTGGAGGCATTAATGATCATGTCCAAATCTCGATTTTGCTATAAAGGTATACAAAAAAACTTAAAATCATACCTCTTGACGCGCTAATACACTTCAATACCTTTTCTGACAAACATACACCATAAGTCTTATTTATTATATTATAGTACACATTTAAAACTTATTTAAGGGACACAACTGGACCTTACAGACCCTGAAGATACAACACTGTTTGTCTCCTCAGGGAGAAGAATCTACCTGTACAGAACCAGTTTTTTCCCTGGCTGTGTATGGAATTATGCAGTGACCAAAACAATCAAAGCTATCTTATATTTTCAATTCTTCGTAGCCTCCCTTTGCACTGATGCAGCTTTACAGACGCTTGCTCTCTCAAACAGCTTCAGGTGAAGCCACTTGGGATGCTTTTCCAGTAAGACTGAAGAAGATACACCTATACCAAGACCTTAACAGCTCCAGAAAAATACTTGTTGGGGATATTTAATAAGGTTTTATAGCAAAATTTGGAAATAAATTCATATGTAACTCCACTATTTGTATTACAATGACAATTTAAGAAAGTATGCATAAGACTTAAGATCAAAATGTGTTCAAGTTGTATTAAATCATGTATTGTATCGTGTGTCTACTGGATAAAGGGTCAAAAATGAGAAGCTTTACGCTTTGTGACAAATATAGGACAATTAAACTAGTCTATTCCTTAGATTTCATTAGAAACTTTGCTTACATTCACTGGGAAGGAAATTGAGAGATAGTACGTTTTAAAATAAACAAAAGAGCAAACCAGTCTAAAGTATCTAGGTTGACTAACACAAAGTGATCATTTATGCCTCTTCAGGCTAGTTTTTCCAGCTAACCTCATCCGGTGTGGCCACAAAGTTGATAGCGGTGTAGTATCGGTCATCCTCCTGAGACAGGCTGAAGGTGAACTGGTAGTCTATCAGCAGTGTGTCTGTATGGGAGAAAGACAGCCGGTCACTGATAGCTTTACTGGATGAAATAAAGTATACTTTTTAATTTTACATGTCATACATGTGAAAGTAGAATAGGTACAAAAAAAGCACCAAGACAGAATTTACTTCAAACTCGAAGCCTTCATTAAATTCACTGACACACACACTCTGTTCCTCTCCTCAGTCTTGTCAGTCTTATCCCAGCTCAGCCCCGACCCCTTTGGCCCCCCACAACTGAGCTGTGTGTGCGCTGTGTGGCAGGACATGATCAGTGACCCCTCCTCCACTGTAGTAGCAGATCAGCCGATGCTTCTTTCACCTTCTAACTCCAGTAAGATTAACCCGTCTCAACAACAAAAGACCAGCCTGAGGAAGCCCAGTACCAACCTCTGCAGCACTCTCTGACCTGAAGTGACCCACATTTACTTCACTGCAAACGGAAGATAAGGCTGAGATGGGCAGTTGAGAAAATTACTAAATGACTGGAGTTTGTCTGCGCTGAGCCTACAGCACTCCTTCTCCCACTTTTGTGTGATTACTCCTGTACTGCTTCACTCACAATAACAGGTTCCTCTTAGAGGGTTGCCCTGGTAACGATTCTCCACTTCACACCTGAGAAAGAGGGAGGGGATGGGGTTGTGGGAAGACAAAGACAAAGATAATTAATATGTCAGGGAAATAAAATGTCTAAAGTAGTAGAGAATAATTATCTGCAGGGCTGATGTATAGAAACTGAGAAATAACAAGAAAGTGTGAGAGAAACAAAAAGATCGTCGAAAAGAGAGTGGGGGAAAAGTTAAGTGTATGTGAGCATAACTTCCATACGTAAGGCATATTCCAATGGAATTTCATGTCAGTGAAAGGAAAATGAAATGAGTTTAAGAGATGGCATTCTCAGGAAAAAAGAAAAAAAAAAGGTTCTTTCCTGGGCTGGGACTCTGGGTCAAACTACACTAAACCTGTCAAGGCACTGTTATTTTAGCTGTCATTAGGAGTTTTGAGAGTTTCCCCATAATGAGTTTCACACAGTTGCGTTTTCATAGCTCCAGCTCTTGAACCAATCTGGTATATGAAAGAACATCCACTGTTCAATAATGAACACATCAGTAACAAACGTGTTGATGAAAAAAGGTTGAAATATGGAAACTGTGTCTAATTAAAAAGTAGGAACACTAAGAATAAACAGATTAAGGAGTCAAGCACTGTTGAGGCTACACTGGACTATGTGAATAAAGTAGCTATATGTGGTAGGAAGCCATACATACTCTGAACAGCCATAACATTAAAACTTTCTACACTCATTGTCCATTTTATCAACTCCACTTACTGTACAGGTGCACTTTGTAGTTCTACAATTACAGACTGGAGTTCATCTGTTTCTCTGCATACATTGTTAGCCCCCTTTTACCCTGTTCTTTAATAGTCAGGACCACCACAGGACCACCACAGAGGAGGTATTATTTGGGTGATGGATCATTTTCAGCACTGCAGTGACACCGACAATGGTGGCTTGTTAGTGTGTGTTACACTGGTACGATTGGATCCAGCCAACAGCATCCTCTGGGCAGCATCCTGTGACCACTGATGAAGGACTAGAGGATGACCAACACAAACTGTGCAGCAGCAGATGAGCTATCGTCTCTGACTTTACATCTACAAGGTGGACCAATAAGGTAGGTGTGTCTAACAGAGTGGACAATGACAGGAAAGTGTTTAAAAACTCCAGCAGCTTTGCTTTGTCTAATCCACTTGTACCAGCACAACACACACTAACACACCACCACCACGTTGGTGTCACTGTAGTGCTGAGAATGAGCCACTACCAAAATAATACCTACAAAGTGCTCCTGTATGGTAAATGTAAATGTTTAGATTAACCAGTGCTTCAAACCGATACTTGATGACGATGCTGGGCTACTGTGCAAAAAATCTACATTGTATTCAATTCTCAGTACAATTCTCAGTACAATTCTCTGTAATGTTAATCCAGTTAGATGTCTTAATTTCTACATTTTATAAACGTATGTATGTGTATTGGAAGATCTGCACACTAAAATCACTGGATATCGGCATCAGCCCACAAGTTTCATACTAGTGCCTCCCTAATGTGAGGTAAAATGAAGCAACTAAGGCCATGTTGGCATTATGAATCTTGCACAGCTCCATTCTTTCCGCACTTATGGTTCACATTTGTGTGTGACTCATATCTGTTAAGTATGAACGAACCTGACACAAATCTGATTGTTCTTAATAAGGCTGTAAGGCCATGAACTGGACATGAAGTGTCTCAGAATTGATTTAAGAAGATTATATTTGTGTCTCCACACAGCTCTAAAAAATCAGATCAGTGTCACATTAAGACAGAAAAAAACTGGACTTCAACCCAGCAATGTAAGAGCAGCCTAAGCCCCCTGGACATTTTCAGCAGGAACAGCTTGACCAATCATGCTTATGGGACTGATCATGAATGCTAGTAATGCTATGGCAAGTAGACGTCACTGCATGATGCTATCTGGTGGCTATTCACTTCATTGTTAGCAACATTAGAGTTATTTCATTAACTTTTCCTTTAATATGGCAATGTTGTGTGCTGTGTGTGCTCTGTGTGCTCGGTCCACTCACAGATTGCAGCGGTCTCCTTTGATACCCTTGGTGGTGCAGAAACACTTGCCGTTGTTTGAATTACACAAGCTGGCGTGGCCGTTACACTTACAAGCTGCAAAAGACAGACAGACAGACAGAGTTTAAGCCCGCTGTGTGCACTGCCTCCACTGAGGTCACAATCACAGTGGGTCACCGTGCCATCGCTGACCCTTTTCTCCGTCACTTACGCTGACAGCTGCCCCCATTAGTGGGGTCGCCATAGTAACCGGATATGCAGCTCTCACAGTGTCTGCCAGTGGTGAGATCCTCACATCTCTCACATACACTCTCATTCACACACGCACTGTGGCCGTTACACTGGCATGCTGCAGAAACACAGAGAGAGGGAGAAGTGAGAAAAGGCAATTAGGACCTAATGTAGCCCTGCTGTAATTAAAATGCAGCATTATGATACAAGTGCATTTACTACGGAAAGCATGAGCACATGCCATGACCCACTAACGTATACAGGTATAAATGTACCTGGACACTGGATGAAGGACCAGTTGTACTTGGTCTCCTGTGGACACAAGCTTACATTCAGCATCGGCTGAGGAGGGGGTATGAAGGAGGGTCTCGAGGATGATGGAGCATGTAAGAGCGTCTGAATTGGTCCACGGTACGAGCCCTCCATACACTGGCCCCGTCCCGTATTGCTGGGGTCAGTACACCACCCACAGCCAGGCTGATCCAAACACTGAGAACATGTCCTGTAGCCAGAGCAGTTCTCCGCTGTGGACACACATACACCAGAACACTTAAGAGGTTGACATATTTTTTATGCTGATAAACTTTTATCAACTTAAACATCACAAATAATAGTCTGCAATGACAAATGTTGCATTAAATTGTAAAACAATGCAAAATTCAGTTTTAAAGCATTTTCTCTAGTGGTCTTTTGAGATTTACATAACTCCAACTATTAAGCATAAACACAAACATGATCACCGTCATAAAGTTTAACTAGGCCTGTAAAGTGATAAACCTAAATTCAGTGTCATTATCTAAGCCAGATAACAGCAAGATTTGCTGTGAAGTCTGAAATTGGATGTTACACCAAAGAAGACTTATTCCACAAAAAGATCTTTTTCCTGTCTAGTAGTGTTGTGTTATATGTCATCATATTGAGTATTGTTTGTGTCTGTACTGTGATTGTATTTAAAACATTCTGTTCTGCCTATGCTATTTTTGTTTATCCCTACATGGTCATGTCTGTCACACCTGTCACTTGTCATTTATAGGCTGGGCCTAATCTTGGCATCCAGCCTATAAAACTGTGTCAGTCCACTGTTTTACAGGCTAGCTAAATGTCTGGCACCTGCACACAAGAAATAAACTTCAATTCTCCAGACATACGGCTGCTCCCTGGTTTATGACTGGTTTGGATTCTTCACCAGGAAAAAACAATCTCAGGGTTTGATAATATGACAATATAAATTGCTATCCTGATAAATTGTGTCACAATACATTGTGCTTTTCTGAACATATTGTGTATATCATAAATACTTGTAGAACACTAACCAGCTGCATTTTTACTATATTATTATAAATTGTTTATTATTATTGTTTATTATTATAAAGCGAGCAAAATGAGTCCCACTTAACTGGATTTAGTGCCACACAGTATTCCAAATACTGAATAAAATCACTGTATCACTGTATTCAGAGTTTTTGACAGTAATTTTTAATGTAGCACTACTGGTTGTTTTTTCTTTGTTCCAACTGAGCAGATATCTGAAAAAAAAAATATTGTGATATAGTGTGTTTTGTGAAAATTTCTTGAAGTATCACAACACTGTACTTTTGCCCTGTCGCCCACCTCTAAATAATTGCGTTATCTGTTGACTTGTCTGTGTAATTGGCCTGCAACTATTGAAATGTCAGTATTTACGTGTCAAGAACTGAGTGCTGTGATTTTATTTCTGAGGCTTCTTTTTCTATATTTGTAACTACTGTGGACAAAGCTTAAATTTCCGGTTAACCTATTTATTTGTGCTCTTCTTCCTATTGTTTGTCTCATCTCATTAGCCTAACACAGAGTTCACTACACACCTGAGAGGCACTGCATTAATAGAACGTGTGCACTGGGAATTTTAAGTGTAGTCTGTTGATAAAATTAGCATGAATTCATGTGTTAACTTTAACAGCTTTAATTAGGCATATTACAAATGATTAACAGGCAGGATAGGCAAACAGATGATACATACGTGGGCAGGTGTTCATGGTATACCATTCCATGCACTGGCCATAGGGGAAGGAGGCCACGTAGGCATTAGAGTCAACACACTGCCTCATGTTGCTGCACCACATGCACTCTGAGCCCACACTCGTGCACTCGCTACAGGAGGAACGCAGAGCGCAAGGAGTACGACATTGCTTCACACTGTGGTTGGCTAGAGAGATGAAAGGAAAGAGAGAAACAAACAGAAATTATGAGTATTTTCATGCTGACTTTCCAGGTCTATTCAATGCCTTTGTTTAGATATTGAAGAAAAGAAGAAAAAACACTGGAAATTAGTCCACTTGTTCTCTTCCTCTCAAGGTTACCTGATCGTTCACATAGGCTGCCGTTGAAGGAGTTGATGCAGGCTGCTGCCTTCAGACCTCCAGCACTGGGCTCGGCCAAGTATCCACAAAATCCGGCGTCACTGGGTTCACCCGGCAACCACTGCAGCGTGGTGTTAGTGAAGGGGGACATGTCCTCCCAGCACCAGTATGACACATTCACTTTCCTCAGACCCACCCAGGGAGTCACTGATTTGGACTAAGTACACACACACACAGAGAAATAAAGCAAAAAGGATTTTTTTCAGTGAAGCTGTGAGCTTCATTAAAAGCATTAACATCATATAAAGTGTTCTAAAATACTACCACTGGACCAAAGGCCTGTGGTGGAAAAGGATACAAGTATGTGTGGAGGTTAACCCACCAGTGCCGCTCTGCTCTGCAGCTCTTTCAGGACAAACTGCACCTTCTTCAAAGTGGTGAGGGAGGCAAGCACAGCGTTGTGACTGCGACAGGCCAGTTTAGCATTGTCATAGGAGTCATTCGCTGTTATCAGCTTCAGACATGAATTCCCCACCAGGTGCCAACTCTCACCACAGATATTCTCTATAACACACACAGTACAGTTTTACCATTCTCACATCTCTTTACAGATTTGGACTCCATTAAAGACTATGAGTCAGGTGTTTTCTGTTTGTTCCATAGCGCTACAAACATTTACAATCCTTGTAGATTCCTCTGTACACTGAAAGTATGGAGTCCGAGACTTGTTGTATATGGAAAAGCTCTGAATTCTATAAAATGTCCTCTAAAATTATATTTTGAAGCAACCTTGAGCAGTGCCACATAAGTTAACGCATATTCAACACATCCAGAGTTAGTACCAGGTAAAGCAATGCACTCCTGGTTTCTGGTGTCCCACTGGCAGTTCTGGTCAGTAGCACAGCTCTTACAGCTGGTCTTCTTGTTGCATACATATGAGTGGATATCCTTAGGACATGCCTCATACTCTGTTACTGACCCCTGCAAACATGAGAAAAATACAGTTCCATTATGCTCTACAAGGGTGATTAATATAAACAACCTCAGTTTATTCTGAGAAATTATTCAGAAGCCAGATTCCCAGCTGAGTCTTGTCCAGTACACCAAATTCACAAAAACAGAACACAATGCGTAAAATTTAAAAGCAGAATTTAAATATCATGAATTAGAAAAATCAATTCTATAAGTATTTCCCTCAACTGACTCAATGCTACAAAGTTAGATAAAGGATAAATAACATCTAAACACACAACCAGCTTCAGATTATCCTCTTCTAACATAGCCAATCAGAGCTCCTTCACTCCCTATCTGTGTCCTCAGAACTGCCTCGCAGGTGTTAATCTCTGTGACTTTGGTTCAAGCCTTACCGAGGAAGCAGTGCAGTTGTTGTGGATGGACATACAGCGCTCTGAGCACCACTGGCAGCCATTGGTGTTAGCTGTGCAGCTGTAGCAGTCTGTGTACTGGTCACATTTATCACTGTCTGCATCTGAAGCACATACACAAAGACACAACAGTTTGCATGTGCATTTGATAGAGAGGAGTAGTTCTAGTAAACATTAGGCAGATATGTAGTCCTAGCAAAACGGACAGGGTTCCATGGTTTTCTGTTTTAAAACATCGTTTTCCAGGAGAAATTCCAAGACAATTTCCACGATGTAAATACAAGACTATACACACTAAGCACACTGATATAGACACAGAACATGTATGGCATATGTCACATCACAGTAGGCCTCTTCTCAATTACCAAAATCTAGCTTCACTAAGCTTTTCCTTTTACAGTGTTTTCAGTAGACCTTCAAAGTTTCTAACCACAAGACTGTTGTCTGTTGGATTTTCAGTTGGCAGACCATTCTGAATAAGTTTAACACACACAGTTACTGTTTTCCACACTGACATTAGGCATTATCTCAGAATTTAATACCTCTAATTAGGCCTGCGTCTGGTAATGGTTAACAGAGTTATCGCGATAACAGACCCCAGTCACTGTTTAAGTTAAATAACCGGGGGTGGGGGTTCATCTTTGTCAGTCCTCAATGATGATGATGATAATCTTAACCTACATTCAACCAGTGGGGCATTTCTGTACTGACCTATGTCCCTGCCTCCCTTTATTGGGGTGATTGGTCAGAAGAGCAGAAAAATGCTGCCAGCATGGAGTTGGTTTCAAAACGTAACGTTACTGCAGCTGCCTGGAATCATTTTGGTTTTAAACCACATGACCGACGAGAACCAGAAAATGCAGAGGAGGACATTTACCTACACTGTTTTAAGAAAATCCCTGCCAAATACAAGACTACTTTTAAAACACAATCACCCCCACACCTTCACCCAGCTAGTACCGCCATGTACTTAATCCGAGAGTCAGCCTGCATCCTCATCAGGAGAGACACATGAGGTGACTGTCAGCAGAATTTGTCAAAGCAAATAAATGCTGTAGGGACAGCATGAAGTGGAAAACATTAACAGACAGTCCTTTAGTCTTTTTAGCTCAAGGTGTGCTACAGTTCAGCAGAGAGGAATTTAAATAATTATATTTAAATAATAGATTAAAAAAATATTATAAGAATAAATTAAAATGTACTTTATGTCTGCTCTAAACTTTGCAAAGATGCTACAAGCACCCTCCCTGTGTTATTTGTTGGCCAAGATATACGTTGTTTGGAATATTACCTGAATATATCTTAATTTTTACAAAAATAAAATTTTAAATATTTTTGACCCAATAATGCAGGCATATGTCACAGGCACTAAAATACTCATCTGAGGTACTGGTTTAGACCTTAGAGCTACTCACAGACTCTGGGAGGGCACATGCTGAGCAGGGTCTCTGGGTCAGGGGATTTGGCTGCCTCCCAGGGAAAACATGTATTGGTGGTGAAGTTCCACACACAGCGCACTCCCAGCACAGGCGTCACGCACTCTGCCATTTCAGTGAAGGCGTCACAACTGGCAGGCGTGAATCTCAACATATCACTCAGCATCAGACTGTTAAATCCTCCATACACATACATCACCCTGAGAGACAGACGGGGAGGGAGGGAGGGAGGGAGAGAGAGAGAGAGAGAGAGAGAGAGATAGAGAGAGAGAGAAATACTTTTATAACTCACAAAGGACAGTGTAAGGAGAGGTTAGATGGTTACATAAAGGGGACAGAGCAGAGTGACTGAAAAAGTGAGAGAAGATAAGAGAAACAGGAAGAAAGTAGAATAGAGATAAAAGGCTAGTTGCTAAATGGGGAGATCAATAGCCTCCATACAGAGAGTGACTGACAGGTAAAGAGAGAAAAGCTGTTCTGCCCTAGATCCCCACAGAGAGGTGACACAGAGATCACATTAAAAGTCACAATGACATGAGAGATTATCTGTAATGATTCAGATCACAGAGACCTCATCAAAACCACACAACAGGAAGTCCTGGTGCTACATGCACACACAGGCCTGTGTAAAGGAAAGAGTGGAGACTGTGCTGATACTATGATTAGATGTTAAACTGTGATCCTGTTTGTTCACAATTTTGCAGTGATATCCTACCCTAGCAAATGTATATCTTTTCTGACTAATAATGTGATTGCAACTAAAATGTGATTGTTTTCTATAAATGTATTTATGAAATAGACCAAAGTGCTTCAATACTACAGAAAAAAAATCAAACAATATCACATCATTCAATCCCATTATTTCAATACCTAAACAGTCAATCTTATCAGTGTCACTGAGCCAATAAGTATGCTTGATCCAAAATCTAGACGACTGTTTCACTGTCTAAATTACACACCATAAACGTGATACATAAGCTTGGTTCTCGACATCACTGTGCTCCAGCTATTATATGGATTTGTTCATTTCAGTCAGCAGCACACTTAATTTAATTTAATGAAGGACTGATCAGATAAAGTAGACACTGAATGGCAACTGTAAATACTAAACTTCCTTGAGGAGAAATCAGTTTGGAAATCGTTAATGCTAACACAAACAATATATTGTGGGGGAAAAAAAAAACATTTATAGAACATTTTTTTTAAATATTGTATAAAAGGCATGTAACAGGTATTTAAAAAAAAGTAGCATTCAGAAATCTGTATCAAACTCAAGTTATTGATAGCAGCATTAGAACTGAAGCATTCTGAACAATGACTAGCCCTAGATACGAGTATTAACCATCAAGACATGTCAAATTGTGACACTTGTATGATGAGTGTTGTAAAGCAAGCTACTGGGCAATACCCAGCACAAAAAAGAGAGAAGGAGCAAATAAACACGTCTTGCAGGGAGCATGTGTTTCTGGATGTCCTCCCATCAGTATGTGTGTTCGTCTGTGTTTACTATTTGAAGGTTGACAATTAGCTATTTTAGGGTTTTCATTTTGATTTCTGACTTAATTTGCCTAATCTGTGCTGAAGGAGATTACTGCAGGATTTAGCCGTAGACTCATATTTATTGCCTGTTCTTGGCAGATGCCAGCACAGGAAAATTCATGTAGGAGCGTGTAAATGTAATGGGAATCAAACGTGCAACTTGCTGCTTTGCAAATGGATGCACTAGCGCTGTATACCTATATACCCATAAGCAACTCTTGGGTAGCATGTATGTAACATCATAATACTCTTATTTGAGGAGTGAGCTATAACTTAAGTGTCAGAAGATCTAATATTCTACCACATAGCAGTGCTTCAGAAGTGTTGCTCGAAACCTACAGATATTGTATAATTGTTAATTAAAACGTTCAAAGGGTTTACCCATTGCTGTAGACAGCAGAATGGCCAAAGCGGTTCACGTCATGGTAAAGATTAGGTCTGGGCAGCACAGTCCACTCATCACATGCTGGAACACAAAGAAACAAAGAAAGAAACATTCAAATTTCACATTGAGAAAAAAGAGAAAGAAACATTTTTAAAACACTCAGAAAAAGTCAAGACCATCTGCTAAACATGTCGCATGTTCTATCCCACTGCAATAAACTCTGCTGCCCGTATCAACAAATGATTTAAAAACAACTTAATTAGAAATCATCAAAAACTTAATTATCATCCTACTTCTTAGGGTTTTTCATCCAAAGCTGGGGCTTCTGAACACAAAATCTCACATCAGTGACTATGTGAAGCTGTTGCTCCTAAATTTAGTCTTGTCTGTTTAGACACAAACATGCTTTACGCCTGATGCTTACTTTGGTTTAAACAGTGCTGTCTCACAAGTTTAAAAAAACAAAAGTTAAAGCCTCGTCATCTGTGATGATGGTGGTATTAGGAAAACACTATACAGACACAATATAGCGGCCAAACATATGTGGACCCCAGACCATCAGACCTATATGAGCTTGCTGGACATCCCAATCCAAAACCACTGGCATTAATATGGAGTCGCCCCTCTTTGCCGCTCTAACAGCCTCCACTCTTCTGGGAAGGCTTTCCACCAGATTTGGGAGTGTGTCTGTGGGAATTTGTGCCATTCAGGAAAAACAATTTGTAAGCTCAGGAGCTGATGTTGGACAAGAAGGTCTGGCTTATAATCAACTTTCAAATTCATGCTTTTCGTGCTTTATGCCACTCCAGCTGATGCCTGACATTCCTCATAGTGATCTTTGGCTTGTGTGCCCAGCCATGGAAAGCCATTTCATAAAGCCCCTGATGCACAGTTCTTGTGCTGATGCTTGGAACGCTGTAGCGAGTGGTCCAACAGAGGACAGATGATTTTTACTTCCTATACAAGGCAGAAATTTCACAAATTAACTTTAAGGTAGCATCCCAGTGCATAGCATTGCCATACTTAAAGTCACTGAGCTCTTTAGTACAACCCATTCTACCACCTGTTGTTAGTCAATGGAGGCTGCATGGCTATGTGCTTGATTTTATACACCTGTTAGTAGTGGGTGGGTGAAACACCTGAACTCAATTTAAAGGTACAGCACAGAATTTTTTCTCCTTACTCAAAATGTTATATTAGTATATGATTATCTTCATACCTCTTCTTCAGTCCAAAGTTTATCGGGCACTGCAGATGGCATAAAATCACCTCTAAATTTTAGTTTTTTTGCATACTACCCCCTAACCAAGAATGTAACTGACGCACAATTTAAGGTGTAACAGGAAAATTCGAAGAAGATGCTAGCGAGCAAGAATCAGACTTCAGATTTGTGTTAGCAATACACAAATTATTTACAATAATATTTATTTTTCATAGATTAAAAACAAACAAACAAAAACTGTGCAGGGCCTTTCAGCTTGCCACTTTTGCACTGGAGGACAATGTACAGGACCCAAGACCTGCTGTAATCACACTTTAGATGTACCCGTCCTTTGGAAAAATCGTTCATAACATAGTAATTCTACAGCAGCTGTTGTTTCTCAGATAACTGTAGAATTGCATTTTTGTTCTGAACCTTGGTTCCACAGGAGGTGGTCTGGGTGGATTATAAGCTGCCTACCAAAGCAGCCAGGTCGGCATATTTTCTGCTCTAAATAACACCAATAATGCCAGTTTCTTATTCAGCACTGTATGTGCTGTATTATCTTATTAACATTTCAAAGAAAAGATTAGACAATTAAAAAAACAGAAACCATTACAAAATTCAGAGTTCATCTTCAGCCTTTACTAATCTACTGTTTTCATTAACCTCATAAAATAGCAGTAATTAAATCATTTATTGTAAAATCAAAACATGACCTGTGCGAGCAGACATTTAATTTCAACCCTTTATGTCTCAGGTCTCAGAGAAAACTCTCTCAGCAATTACGTTCCTAACTGAACAGAAATTACAGAAACTGAATATTTCACTTGGGATTTGAAGCTCATCATAGCACAGAAACAACACTGATTAAAGCAGTTAATTTGCTTTACTTCTTACTGTTCTTTGATTATACTTCTGCTATTCAATATAGGTATAACACATGACACCATTATATAATGAGGTGTTTTAACTATGACTTGTAAATCTCATGAGTGGAATGATTAGACACACTGGCATCAAATTGGGTTTAATATTGCTGGGGGGGGGTAATAAAAAAGAAGGATGTTGAAGTAAGAGCAAAATCAATGAATACATGTAAATGTAATAATAATTTATTTTGTTTTCATTATCATACACTTTGGCCATAAAGCAGAGCGAATTTGCACTTCTGTCGGTAAAACGGTATATGATCCTCACACAATGTTAATTTATTTAATAATTAAGTTAAATTATTTTTAATTTAAATCGCAACCTAGACGTGCTCCTCAGCAAAATACAGTGAAATAAGTCTTAAGAATTATTAAAATGAAACAGAAGACTTAACAAAACTTTTAAAGTCTCTCATTCATGAAGGTTATCAAATGAAATACTAGTTAACATTGGGTGCTGTAAACAGATTTCCTGGTTGATCCACAAGGCTTGAAACTATTGCCCCGTCACATCAGAATGCTGTTGAGAGCAAACACATATCGTGCCCTTTTAAAAGTTGTATTTTAACTGAACAGAGTGACTGATTTGACTGTTATTCATTTGGTAAAAGGTGTATCTAAATATCTGTAGAACTTTGTTACTGCTCTGCTTACAAGTACTCCTGCTGTATGTGTGAGAATGGCCTGCATGTGCGAGCTGTAGCAGTAGACTGCATATAAACTGAGAAGGGCAAAGTTTACTTAAAATCTACCAAATACTAAAAGTGATCCAAAATCAGTTTGTGTTCGAAACGTAAACGTCTACAAGTGTAATAAAAAAAAAAAACCTTTATTGAAATAATCTCTAACAATAATCAAACAAATCTTTTATAAACTCATAGCATGTGTGAATACTTTTCATGTCCTTGTATAATCAATCTTTTTATTTGTATTTTTTTTTCAGCTGTCAGTGTTGCCTTACTGAGTTCTCTTTTTTGTGTAACATTACATACGTTTGTCCTCCTTTAGGTTTTAAAAGGTCAGCGTCACCACCGAATGAGCCATTCTCTTCTGCAGCTTCTCTTATTGTACATGCCTATGTGCCCTTGGGTTGCCAGCTATTCAACACTAGGATCAATATACATTTATTAGACTATATTAGACTATTTGTTTTCATCTTCAAACCTTCTTCCATGGCCACAGTACATTTAGAAATGAACTCAAACAAAAATGCACCCGTGACTATATAAAAATCTGCAATGCACTTTTAAACCAGCTAGATTCACAGGAAAACCGTGAGACTGAGAAAGAACCCGAGAGTGAAACACGACTGGAAACTGGAACACAGCACTGTGTTTCTGGTTGCTGTAGTGACCCTGCAGCTTAAAATCCCTAATTTTAAATGCAGCTTCACTACAACAGCTGCTTTGAGGCTGTTCTATGCAGTTTCAGTTTTTTTTTTTTCTTTTTTAAAGGGGTGGAGACACAAAATCTCTTGGAGCTTGTACATGCTGCTGCAGGTTATCTGTAAACTTGGCATTAGCTTTCATTGTTATGCTAATTACACATGCAGCTGTGTATGGGTCAAAACAGTTGAAGCATCTTAACTGAAAACCATGGTGGGCTGTCAAAATGACAAAGGACTGGATTAAGTTATTTTCTCTTTCTTAAATCAGAACGTGCTCTTTTGGGATCTTGACGGCTTGAGAAATAACTTGTGTGAATACCTATTACATCTTGATTGCTTCTCAATTATATCATGCGAAGCCTCAGTTACCAAAAATCTCCAACTTTCTTGAGCAATCTAGACCTTAACTGTGAAGCACTTCCATTTCTTCCATCTAGTGTGAATGTTTGCAGGCGTAAATAAGCCAATCTAGCATTCTGTTTCTAAGTGTCACAGTGTGATCGTCATGTGGCAGACAGTGTCTGGAGCGGCTTAATTACAGTTTTTGTATAATTTTGATGTATCAAGTGTAGCTGTCAAAAACCTTCATGTAAGTAATGATTTTCTCAGACACATTTCTTGTTCAGGCTACAAAATGATGCTAAATGAAAGAGCACATTCGTCCCACATAATAGAGAGAAACAACCTTTTGCCTTTGTAACGTCAGCGCATTCTATCAGTTCTATTAGTCGGACGTCCCTGTGGGTTCTTAAACAAATTGCAGTTAATCCAGAATGCAGCAGAATGAACTACAAAACGTGTCCTTATATGTAATGAACTGTCTAGAGGTTAAATCCCATACAAAGCGCTGCTACTCAGTTTCAAAGCTCTAAATATTCAAAGCCTTCAACCTCTGACTGATTCTCAGGCCTATTACAGCCTATTTACACACATTCCAGTCATACGACACAAGCTCATTCTAAGCAGCCAAAGCAAGACCTGCTGCAGACAACAGAGCTTTTTGTCACAAAGCCATTCATACATATATGCACTTTATTTTAATATTTAAGCAACAAAATTACTTTGTCTGATAGTATCAATGTTTCAATCAACTTCCTATGCAAATTGCAAGGGATAAAATGTGTAAAAAAAGTGTGATTGTTGCTGTCTAGCAGCTGGTCTCCAACAAACTGCCTTTTAGTGATGAAAATGCTTCACATAATGATGCCATTTCCTGCAAAAAAACTCGACATTAAGGTTTAAGAATGAAAAAATGTCATTTTGAATGAAAAATAAATAAATAAATAAATAAAAGTTTCCACATGTTGCCAACATGTGTACCTTTCGTTTTGCTGACTTCCACATAAAATACTGATGAAGACATTCGGTTGATTTTATTTTTTTTATTTTTATTATGTAAACTGCTAAGCATTCCTTTTACAAACTTCTCCTCACAACAGCTACAAATATTTGTGTTCGTAGTAAGAGGCATGAGAGCGAAATCTGTCATGACACTAAATTACAGCGTAATTATATTAATGCATTCTTTGCTAAAAACATTCCCAACGTATGTTTTAGTAAC